GTGAGACTAAATGGGCGACTCCTGTCAGGAGGTGAGGATGAGAAGGCAGAGAGGGTCAGGAGTGGGCTGAATGGACACGCAAATCAGGGGTAGAAAGGAGGAGTGTGCTGTCATGGTATAGGGAGAGCAATTAGGGTCACTAACAATGTATGTATAAATTTTTGTAGGAGAGACTAACTTGAATTGTAAACTTTCACTTAAAGTACAACAATAAAATAAAATAAAGCAAAGATGTCACTTTAAGGACTAAGGTACAGCTGACCCAAGCCATGGTGTTTTCAATCACCTCATATGCTTGTGAAAGCTGGACAGTGAATAAGGAAGACTGGAAAAGAACTGATGCTTTTGAATTATGGTGTTGGCAAAGAATATTGAATATACCATGGACAGCCGGAAGAATAAACAAATCTGTCTTGGAAAAAGTACAGCCAGAATGCTCCTTAGACGCAAGGATGGCTAGACTTCATCTCATATACTTTGAACATGTTATCAGGAGGGACCAGTACGTGGAGAAGGACATAATGCTTGGTAAAGTAGAGGGTCAGTGAAAAAGAGGAAGACTCTTAATGAGATGGATTGAAGACAGTGGCTGCAACAATGGGCTCAAGCACAATAACAATTGTGAGGATGGTGCAGGGCTGGGCAGTGTTTCCTTCTGTTGTACATAGGGTTGCTGTGAGTCAGAACCGACTCAATGGCACCTAAAAACAACACCACCAAACTCAATCCATGACTTCTTAACCTTGGCTTATACCTTTATTATACAAATACAATCAAAAGTAACATTTTTGAACTATTGAATGAGGGTGAATGAAGCCAAAAGTCACTTCTGGAAATGTCAGGAGTCATGCTCGGTATATGCATGGGTGTGCTATGCCAGAACTTTTTTTAGGTAATTTCATCATTTCCAAGTGTTATATGTTTTCGTGTTTATGTGGGTGCACTATTTTAGAAAAAATATGGTCCACTCATTCACAAACATCCATACATGACACAGGTAAATATTCCTGAGACACAAGAGCCAAGCCTCAAACCACCAAGGCTTACCTAACTTGGTGTAATAAAGGAAGGAAAACAACTTTTTTATGAGGATTTTATCTGGACCATATATTTACACCAAAGTGCGGTTGCTGGAACACACGTACGATGTATTTTGTTCTACTATCTATTATCAGATTGCTTGTCAGAATGGCTTAAGTTTACAGTCCCACCAGCAATGTATGAGAGTTCCTCTCTCCTTAAATTTCATCCAGATTTTTGCCATTTCAGTGGGAGCTGATTTAACCTATCTTTGGTGTTATTAGGAGCCCTGGTGGCACAGCAGTTAAGCGCACGACTGCAGTGGTTAAGAGTTTGGCTACTAAATGAAAAGTTAGTGGTTTAAACTCACCAGCCACTCCACTGCAGAAAGGTGTGGCAGTCTGCTTCCTGAAAGATTAAGGCCTCGGAAACCCTATGAGGCAGTTTTACTCTGTCCTACAGGTCGCTGTGAGTCAGAATTAACTTGATGGCAGTGGGTTTGGTTTGGAGTTTTGGTTTTACTGTGATTACTGGTGAGTTTGTATGTCTCTTCGCATACTGGTTGAATATTTAGGTTTTCCCCTTCTTGAATTGCTTAGTCAACTGATTGGCTTATTATTTTCTGATTGGACTGCCTATTGTTTTCCTACTGATTTGCATAAATATTCTGTAAATTCTAGGTATTTCCTACTAGCTTTTTGTTTGTCTATAACCTTTTTCTATTGTTTTATATGTTAAACAGAAATCTTAATTATTCTGTCATTAAATTTATTTACTTTAGTTCTTTTGTGTTTTAATTTTGGGATATTGTTTAAGAAAGTTCTATACTGCGAAAATTTTATTGTGTCAGCATCATTGTTCTCCCTTTCAAATGGAGGTTTTCAATCCATCTGGGGTCCATCTTTGCATGTGGTCTTATGTTGGGTCCCAGATCTATTTTCCTCTATTTAGTGAATGCATCCTGCCAACACCATCTACTAAACAATCTGTTCCTTTTTGTTTACCTTATGATGCCATCTTTGTCATATATCAAGTTCCCAAACAAATACAATCTTTCTCTGAGCTGCTCCTGGGCCAGCCCTGAAATGTTTTTATTACTGCGTTTTTGGACTATGTCAATATCTGACAGGGCAAGTCCCCAGTCTTTGCTCTTCGGTTTCAAAATGAACTTGATATTTTTTGATCACTTGATTTTCTATAGAAATTCTAAAAAGGGCTTGTTGCATTCCTCAAAAAATCTAGCTGCAATTATAATTGGAATTTTATTCAATCAATTTGTAGATTAATTGGGGAGGAGTGACAGATTTCCAATGTTAGTTTTCTTATCTATAACACAGTATGTTTCCATTTATCCTTCAATTAATTTCTTTGATATAGATTAAAATTTGGAAAACTTTTTGGGGATCTGATTTTCATACGATTCCCAGATGTGATTCCTACCCGCTAGTCTATCATTCTAGTTAGTGAAGAGTTTAGTGCTATAATGTAGAAGAGGCAAACGGAATACCAGAAGTGGAACTTTTCCTCAGCGTTTTTCACTTACAGTAGTTTTGCAAGCAGTTAGGCTATGGTATAGTAATTTAAAACAAGTGTTCTGAGGTCAGAGTCCCTGGGTTTGACTCTTGGCTCTACTGTTTCCTAATTTGGGTAACAACTTAACCTCAGTTTCCTCATATATACAAAGAGTATAATAATGTCAGCTAACTCACAAGGTTATTGCGAGGATTAAATGAAAGAATCAATGTAAAGTGCTTAGTATAATGCTTGGCTTACGGCAAACCCAAACCAAACCAAACTCATTGCCATCAAGTCAATTCCGACTCATAATGACCCTAAAGGACAGAGTAGAACTGCCCCCATAGGGTTTTCCAAGGAATGGCTGGTGGATCTGAACTGCCAACATTTTGGTTAGCAGCCATAGGTCTTAACCACTGTGCCACCAGGGCTTCTTGGCTTATGGTAAGCATTCAATAACTATCAGCTACTAGAAAGAGTGAACATATCAAGCCGTAAGTGTCAAAGCACTAGAGCCTTAACTGTAATAAGTATGTTTCCTTTAGAGGTCAAACCCAGGAATATCACTGCCTAAGTTGCTCACTTCCCACCCTATGCAAATAAAATGTGCTTTTATCTCCATTTAGTATCTAGTGGTTAGTGATTAAAAAATAAATTTTGTGTTGCTCTTAATGTAGGTGTTGACCTTTATTTATCCCCCAAATGGATATACCAGTGTTTTATAATTTTCCCATTTAGATGTCAGATGTTAGCACCTACGTAAAAGAGAAGGCCTAATTTATTTTCCTTGCCTTAGATTCCTAAGCCTAACTTGGATTTAACCCGCTGCCATCAAGTCAAATTCCAACTCATAGTGATCCTATAGGACAGAGTGGAACTGCCTCATAGGGTTTCCAAGGAGCAGCTGGTGGATTTGAACTGCTAACCTTTTGGTTAGCAGCCATATATCTTAACCACTACGCCACCAGGGCTCCAACTTGGATTTACAAAAGCTTAAGTTGAGTAGAACGTACTGAATTTTTCAGATGTGCATTTCCCAGCTCATGCTAATGTATACATGTTCTACAGTTCTTCATGATTTACAAAATATTTAAATCAATCTACTTATTTCTTATCTGTAAGAAATTATTATGTGGATAAACAATCTGAATCTCAGAGAGCTTAGCTAAGATCTGAATTCTGGTTTCCTTACTTTTAATACCCTTTCCACTTTCTCCTCAGCATTAAGGAGGAACACTGAATACAAATCTTCAAGGCTCTAAACAGGTCCATTCTGAAATGAAAACCGACAATCTGAAATATTGGTTTAAAAAAGTAGGGTTCTGGAGAAAGTAGATTAACTGAAGGGATATCTATCCTTCACTTAAGCCATATGCACCAGACACATTTTTAAAGGTTGTCATTATTTGTGCCAAACATGGCACATCACTGAGAGCTAATACAAACACTCCTAGTCTAATTGGTTTATATGCAAGAGATTGTGATTCAGCTTTCTCATCTATTTGTAAGGGAAGCCTTTCCTTTTGTGAGTATCCTGCAAATCTCACAAAACCAGTCAAGCCTGGAAATCCAAAAGCTTATTCCTTGAACTCTGTTGTGGCTGTTGTCAGGTGACGTCAAGTCGGTTCTGACTCAAAGCAACCCTATGTACTACAGAGCAAAGCAAAATAGAAATGCCCATCCTAAATGCTGAGTCCTCCAAAATATTGGATTGGTTGGAGTTTTCCACAGGGGAGTACACAGCAGCATACCAGAATGGCACCCTTTGTTTATTTTATTTTCCGCCTTAATTCAGGCCAGGCAAAGAATCGTTCAGCTGGAGCAAAATCTCTTCAGCTGATTCCAGCACTGCTTAGGAAACTGGCAGAGAGAACACACCAGTGTGAGAGGCACACCCGTGTCAGAGTCACAGCCAAAGTGAAGGCCACAGCCTGTGCTAAACAAGTCACTTACGTTCCCTCAAAGATGCTCAAATGACATCAAGGCTGTGGTCAGCGTTCTCTGAAGTTCTATTGCAACCTGCCCAAGACGCCATTAACTTGTTAACTGGAACAGCTCCTCATGGGTCCACTCATGAGTGAGGGAGAAGTACCAGCTGTGTGAGTCATAGGTGACTTCTTGGCTTCCCATGTCAGTATACAGAGCCTCCTAATAGCATGTGGACATACTCAAGCTTACCCAGGATAGTAGAATCTTACTTTTTAAGCCCTTGCTAGAAGGCAGAAAAAGGGGAAGTTTCCTCAGTGCTTAGCAGCTGGCTCCTCCCCCTGCTACTTGTCTAATCACACGTTTTCCCTATTAAATCAGAATTGATGAAACCTGTGTAAATTTATTGTGTTTAAAAATCAATAATCACATTATAAAATAATGATATTGTTAACTATACAAGGCAATTTCTTCAAATCAAGTGGTTGAGATGTGTGTGGTTAACTGGATCTACCCAGGAAGTGGTTTATTTAAAAGTTTGTGTGCTCACCCCAACCCCCCACCTTTTTCTTTCCTCCAGTACAGAAATTAAGCAGCATCCAACATAGGCCTACTCTTACGACATGTGACTTTACTGTTTTCCGTTTTTGTTGAAAGAGTCATTAACAGTTAGAAGTTGATGGCAGTTTCAATAACAAGTCATCACCGAGAAAAGGTAAGTAGGTTTTAACTTTATCTTGTCTGTGAAACTTAAACTTGAAAATGCTTGGTAGATTATCCTGTCTTGGTGTAAACATATAAACATTTCTATAAAATGTGATGCCTTCACCTGTGATTGAACATAAGCTTGCCTCCTTTGTGTAAAAAAAGAGTATTATTTTCTTATTCACAGCTGTCAAATTCTGAAGTCCTCTACTGAGATGTTATACAGAGATCATTTATAAACATTCTCTACTAAAATATTAAAGACAGAGTAAAGTATAGTTTCAGTTTTAAAGTGCTTTAGAAAAAAAACTACTGGAGAAAAAACGAGACTTTGTATCTTTAACAGGTTGTTTTATAAGACTATGCATTATTGGAAATCTACATAATAATAGAGAAAAGGGCATTTTCTACCAATAAGAAATAACATCTGAACTGCAGTGTGAAAGATACCCACTTTAAAGCCTTGTCTTAAAGTTAGGATTAGAAACCATTAAAAAGGTTCTCAAATATGTAGCTTATTAAATAGTCATTGAAAAGCAGGAAAGTTTTAAAATGTAAAAGACTGCTCACTAGCATAACATTTGAACATTTTTTCCTAATTTTTAATTACTATAGAAGGTAAAATGAAGGCAAGTTTCTATTTCATAATCAAAACTATGTTTAAAGACTGCGGATGTCACTGAAAAGTTACTTCTGGGAAAAATTGTAAATTAGAGACATACTTTTGTTATTTATGTAGTTATATAATTTGTCTTTTTTGAGATTTTTCCAAAATAATAAACCTTAGATACGAGATGGAATCATGCACTTACAAGAACTTATCTTTATATTGACTTCATGCTTTTATGGAATGTCTTTGTATGCTGTGACATATGTGCAGAAAACATAAAAATATTGCTAATCTCAGAGACAAATACGTAAAATAAATCTGATTGTAGATTTTTTGAAAGAATTTTAATAAAAATCCAAGATATGATATCCTCCACTCTTCCCTAATATTATTTTTATTGTGTTCTTTGACGGGAGAAGTGACGGCCCCCACAACACCTATTTTTTTGTGTGTTATTAAAAAATGGTTACAAGGTTGATAAGTAGAAACAGTTTTCTCTTATTTTATTGTCTTCTATTGAACGACACATATAAATGTTTTTTGACATGGTCAATTTAGTAGGAAATTATTAGGCACGCTAGCACACTCCATTTTAAGACCTCTTCAATTGTCAATACCGAAGCTAGCTACTTGTTGACTATTACAATAATCACAGAAAAATAGAGATTAGGACTTCGTGTTCAATACATTTTTTTATTCTTAGAGTGTAAGAAGACCTTGGTAATATGTATTTGCTTTGATATTCTGATTAGCTTTTCAATTTGTTACGTTTCCTCACAATGGAAAGTGTTATTTAAATCTGTCTTCAATATTGTGGTTCTGAGCCTCTGCATGTATAGAAGCTGTATAATTCAGATAATTTTGGTTGATATGTTATTGCTTTATTTCATCTTATTGTAAAAGAACATCACATGAATAAACATATGTAGTACTTACACTTTAGCAAGAATAACTATCCTGATAAGCATCTGACATTGAAAAGTCCACTAAAGTTTGTTTTAACCGTTCAATAGCTTAGAAAGCTAAGTTCTTTGTGAAATAGAATGTTTCTTGCAGAAACTGTCAAAATTAAAACAAATGTTTTATGAAGTACGTTCTTAATTATTTAACATCATAGTATGAATTTAGAAAGAGCAACAAGTAGAGAAGACAGATGTGTAAAATAAGACACTGAGAACTGTTTGTAAAAACAAGTAACGCATTAGCTCTTGACCACGCAGACTAAAGCTTAGAAGAGTCCATTAGAAATGAGTAAAATGTGAATAGACTCTTAGGTTACTATCCCTTTATAAATTTTTAAGTAGATAATTAAGAAACACATTTTGGTGAAATAAACACAGTGCAGAGGATCTTATTTGGAAAATCATTTCAGAACTGAGTTATTAAGAGAATATCATGTTTTTCCACTTGGGGCCAGCATTCAACAAAATTCTGAAGGGAGAATTTTCTTCTTGGTTTTCTTCCTCTTGATCCCTTTTAATCTGTTTTGGAGCAGCCTACTCTGTCCCTAACTAGGGTCCTACAGACTTGATTACCTAGAACAGATACCTCCATGCTCCTTCCACCCCACTACCATAGCCCTTAAAACCTACCCATGCAATTTTTCAGCTCTTACAGAAATTCATGAAAATAATCCACACTCATAGGAGGAAGCTAAAGCATTTCGCTACCTTTATTAGCCAGGGCTTCCCTTCTCCCAGTGGAATTTCTACAGGGTCTCTGCAGACATGATCCAAAGGATTAGCTTAATACTGAGGACTTCAGGTTGAAGAAAGGGGACTGGTACCATAGCAAATAGTTGGGGAAATACTTTCGTGCAGAAAGAGTGTTTTGTTAACCATTAGTGTTTGCCTATGTCCGTCATGAGCCTAGTCCTACCTGTGGTATTTAAACACAGCACTTCTTAGAGCGTCTCATGTTAAAGGTGCATTATAGAGATATGACCGTTTCTCTAAGATGTTCTTGAAGAAATTTGCACCCCTCCTGTGGCATATAAAACTTAATTGCTCTGTGTTTTCAGGCTATTTTGATATTCCCATCTACTTAGAGAATATTTGACATAATTCATTGCTATCTACGTGTATTTTTAAAATAATTTAATATCATGAATTAGCTCTTTGGATACCAGAAGCATATTTTTCACATTTCAAAATGAATGCTATATAATTAGATTTTAAAATGTATCTATAAGTATTTTAAATTTCAGTTTGTAGTAGGTTAAATTTCTTTTTTTGCAAATGATAGAAAATGTGTTAAAATTAGCCTAGCCTGGGAAACTATTCTGCATGATACTGGAATGGTGGATACATGACATTAAGTATTTGTGAAAACCCATAGAACTATACAATACAAACCCAGTGTAAACTATGGACTTCAGTTAGCAATAATGCATCACTGTTGATTCATTACATTGCAACAAATGTAGCACATCAGTGCAAGATGTTAACAACAGGAGAAACTCTGTGAGGGGGGAGGAGTATACACTTCCTGCACAGTGTTTTTGTAAACCTAAAGCTGCTCTAAAAAATAAAATGTATTAAAATTAAAAAAAAAAAAAAAAAAACCTAGCCTAGGCAATACAGATATTTCTGATTTGTATAACTGAAAAGTCCAGGGGGTAGAAAGTCAAGCATGGTGGATCCAGCAGCTCATACAGAATGATAAGGATTAGGGCTCATTTTTTCCATTTCTTAGCACTTCTTTTTACTGTGCTGTCATGTCTAGCAGAAGCTTCCACTGAGCTTACAAAAAGTTCAAGACTATATCTTCTCCTTTCAGCAAACTTTGTAACAGTAACAGTTTAAAAAAGCCTCCTTCCCAGCCTCCACAGCAAAGTACTCAAATTTAGATCTGATTGGGTTGAATTGGGTCACATGACTATAGCTGACTTAATCATTGAATCTGACGACAGATAGATACCCTGACTGATGAGGCCTCAGTCACAGGCCCACTCTTGAAGAGAAGATCACCTAAATCTGGGCCACTTGGACTGTTAGCTGAAGAGAGGGATCTCCTTAAATAGACATTCAGAAAGATGCTTTCCCAGAAGGAAGGTGGTTGCGTTTCTCATAGGCAAAAGCCACAGAACTCCACTACAGAGCCACAAAATGATCACATCTAAAGCACTGCTTACTCAACTTCCTCAGACGCTACAATCAGGCAGAAATACAGTATCAGTTTAAGGCTAGATTTGAATGAAACGAGTTTCGATTAGATGAAATTAAAACATATTTTTCAACAGTTACTCCATGTTGGAGGTTCTGCAAGGTGTAATAAGATAAAAAAAGTACAATACTTGTCATTGAAAAGCTTATAGTTTAGTCTGGCTAGAATTTTAGTAATTATAACACAAATAGAATTTGTCAAATACCATGAGAGGATGCAAAGAATGTTCTACTGGGGTTCAGAAATTCATGTAACATTTCTTAAGTTTCTCTTGGGTGTCAGGCAATAAATTAAGGATTTTTGCAGGTGTTATATTATTTGACCATATCAAATAATATATGATCAAATTATATGTATATGATTTGTCTCGGAAATCAGGACAGTTTAGGGGGAAATGTTTGTGGTGATTTTCAGAGAAACCTAGGACTGGGGAAAGAAACATTCCAAGGGACAGGAAGGGAACACGTCAAAGCACAAAAATATGGAATGTCAGAGAAATTCCAAGGAAGAGTGAGTTGTCCAGCTTGGTTAGCTGGAAGTATAGTAGTGGGAGGTAAGTCCAGAAAGATAGTTTGAAATTATATTACTGTGGATTTTAAATGACCTTCTGGGTAGATTACACATAGCTCAAGGTTTTAAGTAAAAATAGGGTTTTTGTACATGAGAAATACATAATTGGATGTCCAAACTTTAACTTTTTGAGAGGTTATCTAGCGTTAAGATTTATCGAATTTTTCCATTTATCACACTGTTAAGTGACCTGTCCTTCAGGGTAGTTTGCAATAGTAGTTGCAATTAGTGAAGGGAGGTTTTTCTGTAAGGACAATCACTAACTTACCTGGTCAGGTGCCTTGAGGTTTTATACAGGCTGTGGTTATGATGATCTTTTTTTTTACCTTATAAAAGTCATTTTTGTATGTTTGTCTTTTTATTTTTAATTTGAGAATAAGTAAAACAGTGGGATATGGTTCAAATATCTAAACATAAAACCTAAATATAAAATACTTAGAAAAAATATTGCTCACAATCCTGTTTCTATCATTTACCTCCACATTAACCAGCAGGTGACCACTTTTATAATCGTTACTTTTTTTTAATCCTTCACAGTTGCTTTATGTGTGTGTACATTTGTGTACATATCTTCTTTTCTTCTATTAAAAGTCGTACACTACACATACCTCGGCATTCTGCTTTTTTTTTTTTCTTTTGACAATATATCTTGGAGATCTTTCCATAACAAAAATAAGGATCTAATACTTTGTTTTTAATTGTACTTTATATGAAAGTTTACAGAGCAAACTGGCTTCTCATTAAGCAGTTAATATTCACATTGTTTTGTGACATTGGTTGCCAACCCCATGACATGTCAACACTCTCCCCTTCTTGACCTTCGGTTCCTCATTACCAGCCTTCCTGTCCCCGTCCTTGCCCCTGGGCTGGTGTGTTCATTTAGTCTCATTTTGTTTTATGGGCCTATCTAATCTTTGGAAACCCTGGTGACACAGTGGTTAAGAGTTTAGCTGCTAGCCAAAAGGTCAGCAGTTGGAATCCACAATGCACTCTTTGGAAACCCTTTGGGGCAGTTCTGCTCTGTCCTATAAGGTCACTATGAGTTGGAATCGACTTGACGGCAACAGGTTTGGTTTTTGGTTTTGGTCTAATCTTTGGCTGAAGGGTGAACCTCAGGAGTGATTTCATTAGTGAGCTAAAGGGGGGCTACACTCTTGGGGTTTCTCCAGTCTCTGTCAGGCCAGTAAGTCTGGTCTTTTGTTGTTGTTGTTAGAATTTTGTTACACATTTTTCTCCAACCCTGTCTGGGACCCTCTATTGTGATCTTTGTCAGAGCAGTTGGTGGCGGTAGCCGGGTAGCATCTAGCTGTGCTAGACTCAGTCTGGTGGAGGCTGTGGTAGTCGTGGTCCATTATTAGTCCTTTGGACTAATCTGTCCCTTGTATCTTTGTTTTACTTCCTTCTCCCTTGCTCTAGACTGGGTGAGACCAGAGGAGTATCTGAGATGGCCTCTCACAAGCTTTTAAGACCCTAGATGCTACTCACCAAAGTGGAATGTAGAACTTTTCTTTAAAACTATGTTATGTCAGTTGAGCTAGATGTTCCCCAAGACCATGGTCCCCACAGCCCTCAGCCCAGTAATTTGGTCTCTCAGGAAGTTTGGATGTGTCTATGGAGCTTCCATGACCTTGCCTTGGGCAAGCTGTGAACAGCTGTATAGTATTCTACTGTATGGATAAATCATACTTAATTTAACCAGTCTCCTATTGATAGACTTAAGGTTATTTTCAATTTGCTAATACAAACGAATGTTTTAATGTAATTACGTACATTTGAAAATATATCATAGAATAAATTTCCAGAAATACTATTTATGAGACAAAGCATAAAATATTTTTTATAGATGTTGCAAAACTACTCTTCGTGTTAGTTTAACTTTTTGAACTTCCATCAGGGCTTAATGAGAACGCTGGTGGAAGCTCTAAAGCTTCTTCAACAGATTATGTTGCCAAACTTTTCAGGCTTTGACAATCTGTAGAAAATTGTATCACAGTATAGTTTTACTTTGTATTTCTGTTATTGTGAGTAAGATTGAGCATGTTTTAAAAGATTAAAGCACTGTTTTTTCTTCCTAAAAAGAGAATGTGTTCTTCTGCAACTGTATAATTAAAGACCAAAAGCATTAGTGAAGTTCAAGTTTTGGCTTGAGATGTCAAAGAAAGCAAGAAATTAAGGACAAGGTATGTCGAATACTCCTTTTCTAAAGCTTGAAAGAGCCAGTAGCTAAAAAGGTGATGAAATATGTATGTTCAACAAAGGATCGGAAAAAAGGAGAGAAAATATAAAAATATATTCAGAAACCCAACAAGGTCTCAGAGGAGACTAATATAGATGGGTGTAATCACAGGCTCAAGTAGATTAATTAACTTTATACTAAGGTAATCTTTTAACCTTAAACCAAAAACATCCTCTGAAGTCTTCTTAAAACCAAAGAATAGTTTAGCTTAACTAGTAAAAAATGTCTGCCTTGAGTATTATGCTTTTTAAAGATCTATATGGGATCCAATTGAAAACGACAACTTGAAAGATTAGATAGGAAACTGAGGGGGCAGTGAATTTATGTTAATGGGAGAGGAACTACTTAGAAAAGTAGGGTGAAAATGGTTACAACTCGGCGGATGTAACCAATGTCACTAAATGGTACATGTAGAAACTGCTGAACTAGTGTATGTTTTGCCGTTTATAGTCTCAACAACAAAAACAAAATAAATAAAATTATATGCATATAAAAAATTAACCTTAAACAGAAGGGAGATTAATGAGTGTAGATGTAGATAAGATAAAGTGAGGAGAGGAACTTGAGGGACTATACGCTTCAGAGCGTCTATCTTCTCTGAAATAGTAGGGAAGCTCATGTGATAGGAGTCAGCATTTCCTAAATACCAGACATGAGGCAGAATATCTTATTTTAATAATTGGCCTTGTCCATAAAACAATACAATTGTTGATTTTAAAAATAATCTTTTCTCTTTGGTGGGCATCAGCCCAATTCATTTCAATTCTACAAATACTTTTGTGCTCCAGCTAGGTACGGTGTATTGTGCTGGGAATTATTGGAGACAGAAATAATTCAATATGCTCTCTAGCCAATGAAAACTTTTTAGGTAGCTATGAAGTGCCTAATAGCAACATAAATTTAAATATATAGCTATATGGATAAATCCAATTGCATGTAAGTATTGCAAAACATGCTACTGTCAGAATCCCCAGTGTCTACATTTTGCCAAGTCAAATGACTGTTTATTTGTCTTCATATTGTCTGAGCTGTATTTGATGCAACTGAACACTTCTTCCCTCTTGAAACTCTCTTTTCACTTGACTTCTACAATATTTCATTCTCCTAGTTTTCCTCCAAATTTACTGGATGCTCCACTGTCTTCTTTGAGAATTTTTCCTCATCATTCAACCCTCTAAATGTTGAAGTGCCTTTAATCTCATCTTCATATTTCTTCTCCTCTGGTCTCACCTCTTGTCTTCAGAGTCAGTTCTCAGTTGATCATATTTAGTTCCATGACTTTAAACAGTATCTATATTCCAATTACGTCCCAAGAACCAACCTGTCTTCTCAGCAACTACCTACCAGTCATCTCTACTTCCACGTCTCAAGAGATGTCAAAATGAGTATGTTGAAACCAAACCTTTGAATTACTCCCCACCTGCCCCCACCCAACCTTTTCTTCCCCCTATTTTTGTCCATCTCAGTTAATGACACCAGCATTCAGTTGTCTGTTCAGAGCCATAATCTAAGAATTACAGTCGATTATTTTTTCCCTCACCTACCTCCACCCAAAACCATATCCAATTTATCAGCAATAAGTAAATCCTCCAAAATATAGATTTACTTCCCATTGTAGGGTCACTATGAGTTGGAATCAACTCAACGGCAATGGGTTTGGTTTTTTTGGTTTTCCCACCCTACTGTTTACTTATTTTTCTCAATAAATGCTTTTGAAAAATTATGCTGTTTACAGACTAACGGCTCTAATTTTTTATTTGTTTGTTTGTTTTGATATAGTGGCTTTCTATACAAAAACTTGCTAATGTACTACAATAGGTGATATTTTGATGACATTACAATTTTTGACAGACCATACTTACTATTTCACGTTTTAGTTTCTAGTTAGAAAAAATCACATGGAACAAAGTTGATTTGCACACTATGTTAGAATGAATTCAAGAAGGATGAGGAGGTGGCAACTTCTACAAACTTCCAGTCAAATGTTTTTGTCCTAAGGCTATTTTTCTATGCTGTTATTTATTATTAAATACAACTGGAGTGCAAGAAAACCATAAGTCCCTCAAAGGCTAAAAATACCAGTGAAGAAAAAGATGAAAAGTAAAATTAATAAATAAAATAATCTTTTTAACATTTTATATACAAACCATATTCTTTCAAATTATTGCTATTATTTATAGGGATCCATTTTTATTGTTCCATTGATGTATTTTTATATTTGTAAATGTTGATTGAGTATCTTGGCTTGGGATAGAAAGCATCATAAATTCTGCATTAAAATTAAAATGGAATTTTTTTAAAATTATTGTACTTTAGATGGAGGTTTGCAGAACAAACTAGCTTCTCAGTAAACAACTAGTACACATATTGTTTTGTGACATTGGTTACCGACCCCATGACATGTTAACATTCTCCCGTCTCGATGCTGGGTTCCCTATTACCAGCTTTCCTGTCCCCTCCTGCCTTCTAGTCATGCTCCTGGGCTCGTGTGCCCCTTGAGTCTCATTTTGTTTTAGGGGCCTGTCTAATCTTTGGCTAAAAAGTGAACCTCAGGAGTGACTTCATTACAGAGCTATAAGGGTGTCTGGGAGCCATACTTTCAGGGTTTCTCCAGTCTCTGTCAGACCAGTAAATCTGGTCTTTTTTTGTGAGTTAGAATTTTGTTCTACATTTTTCTCCAGCTCTGCCTGGGACCGTCTATTGCGATCCCTGTCAGAGCAGTCAGTGATGGTAGCCAGCCACCATCTAGTTGTGCTCAACTCTATCTGGAGGCAGTGATAGCTGTGGTCCATTAGTCCTTTGGACTAATCTTTCCTTTGTGTCTTTGGTTTTCTTCATTCTCTAAAATGAGAATATTATTATTTTATTTAACAGCTTTTCACATGCTAGGAATGAATTAGACATTAAGAAATGTGTAGATGTATATCAACATATACTGAATTAAATACATTTCTCACCACCTCCACTGCTACTACTACAGAATTCTCCTGACTGGTCTCCCTGTTCTATGTTACCCTCGATAGTCACTCTCAATGGAGTAGTCAGAATGATCTTCCAAAGCCTCAAATTCAAACAACTCTCCCACTAAAAGATTCCAAATGATTTCCTATTATACTTCAAATTAAGTTCAAACACCTTTCATGATCTTCAAGGCCTTCTCTACCTCATTATCCTGCTTTTTATTTCCTTCCTAGCATTTTTGATATGGCGAATTATTTATTTGTTAACTTGCTCAGTGACTGTCTATGCCTTAGAATATATGGTCCATGAGAATACTGACCTTGTCTATGTTTTTGCTACCTAGATGATAGAACAAGGTCGGCATATAATAGACAGTAAATATTTGTTTAATGAAAGAATAAATGCTATAAAATTTACTGAAGTTTGCAGGATCAGAGAAGGGTTTCTAGAGATATGTGACTTCTCCAAGGTCGACAAAATATGATCCGTTTAGAGGTATAAAATCTATAAACATATTTCAAACAGATGATATTACATGAGTACATTTGGAGTAATCTGGCAATGATAACACCTGGGTCAGAATTCTGGATTTATTATATACTTGTATATATTTATTCTAAAACTCAGGACAAATAACCTGCCACCTGAAAACATACTAACGGAAAACCTCAACAACTGCTAAGTATTTAAATTTTAAGCTATTTTACTAAAACCTTGGCAAAAGTTGGTGGTTTGTACCCACCAGCTGCTCCATGAGAGAAAAAATCTGGTGATCTGCTCCTGTAAAGATTACAGCCTAGGAAACCTGATGGGCAGTTCTACTGTGTCCTATAGGGCTGCTGTCAATCATAATCAACTCAATGGCACACAACTACAACAAAGATTGAATAATTTTATTTTTACTCTAGATAAATTTTCTGAAAACTTAGAGAACTTTTTGTTCTAGGCTCTACTGACGTAATGCGAAGCTTATAGTCAAAACGGGATATTGTTTTAAAAGAAGATGAAAGGTAGAATGCTCAGGAAATTGGGTGCTGAATCCAGGGTAACTTTTGTTACTGTTAATTTATCTGTTTTATTTTATTTCATATTATAACTTTAAGGCCAGAAACAGAAACTGAGCATTGGAGCCGGTATTCATCTTTCTGCTAAATGTACTGGGGAAATCAAGTAACCTGAGGCCTCAAGATAACATCACCTATTTATAACCTGATAATTCTCCTAAAGGAAGTGGAATGTTGGAAGAAAAAATAAGTGTTGATTACCTCAGTGCTGTCTTCAACACTGTGGTAGACACTATGGGGTTACCAAATATATACAATATTCCCCTATTCTCAGGATGCTTACAGGAGCATGGGATATTCATCAGTATCAATTATTAGAATGGGGTTGTTAATAATCATAATCATAGCTATGATGTTATTTAATGCTTATTAGGTGCCAGGTGTTTTGCATACATAATAGCATTAAAAAAAAAAACCAAACTCATTGCCATTGAGTTGATTCTGACTCATAGCGCCCCTATAGGACAGAGTAGAACTGCCCCACAGGGCTTCCAAGGGGCAGTTGGTGGATTTGAACTGCCAACCTTTTGGTTAGCAGCCAACCGCTTAACCGCTGTGCCACCAGGGCTCCATAATAGCATAAGTATCCATAAAAATCATGTAAGAGAGTTAATGTTTCCATTTAAGGATAAGGAAGCTAATATTAAGAGGTTAAATGTCCAAATTTACAGAGATATTAGATAGGCTGGATCATGATTTGTTGGCAGATCTAGGTAATACAATAGTCCATGTTATGTTGACTATTCCATGCTACAATTTCTAAGCCTGTTTAGTGTCAGCAGTTAAGCAATGCTGGATTCCATTCTTGAGGCCCTAGAGTCTGAAAGGGTCTAAAAGGACCCTGCATTTTTTGATGTCCTAAAACAATGCCATCTGTGGAAATCTGATTGCTTGTTCTCTGCATATATTGCCTCATGTA